CTGTTGCTGCTGCTGCTGCTGTTGCTGCTGCCGATGACGCTGTTGCTGCTGATGCCGCTGCTGCTGGTGACGCTGCTGCTGTTGATGCTGCTGCTGCACCTGGCGGGACCCCATAGGACTATCCTTTGCCCCAGGGCTAGTTGCTGCAGCAGGAGCAGCAGCAGCTGCTGCTGCTGCTGCTGTTGCTGCTGCTATTGCTGCTGAAACAGAAGCAGCACGAATGGGGGCCCCCGACCTCACGAAGGTTTGAGACGCCCGAGTGCGGGGGGAGGTGCGGGGGCCCCCCGGTACCCCTCTGTCAACTGCATTGCTGCTGCTGCTGCTGCTGCTGCCGCTGCTGCTGCTGCTGCTGCTGCTGCTGCTGCTGGGGTGAGATACAGGGGGCCCCACAGGGACAGACTGGGCATCGAAGGAGGGGGGCCCCAAAGCAGCAGAATTGAGAGAGAGAGGAGCTGCAGCACAAAGAGAGAAAACGCATGCAACACAAAATAATAATACTGCTGCTGCTGCTGCTGCTGCTGCTGCTGCTGTTGCTGTTGCTGCTGCTGCTGGTGTTGCTAATGCTGCTGCTGCTGCTGCTGCTGCTGCTGCTGGTTGCGTCATTCACCGCTTACTTGGGGATTGGGCCAACTGCCGCATGTATACCTGTTGCTGCTGCAGCTGCTGCTGCTGCTGCTGCTGCTGCTGCTGCGGACTTATCATACCCTGCTGCTGCTGCTGCTGCAGTCCCATAGGGAGCCCACCCATATACTGCTGCTGCTGCTGCAGGTGCTGCTGCTGCTTCACCTGCTGCTGTAGGTGCTGCTGCTGTGCCGCACGTAGACGTTGCTGTTGCAGGAGCTGCTGCTGCTGCTGCATTTGCTGCTGGTGCTGCTGCATTTGCTGCTGCTGCTGCATCTGCTGCTGCTGCTGCATCTGCTGCTGCTGCTGCTGAGTAAGCAGCAGCTGAGGCTGCGGACCGTGCATCGCTGTCTGCTGCAGTTGCTGCTGTTGCAAAAACTGCTGCTGCAGTTGCTGCTGCTGCAGCTGCTGCTGCTGCAGTTGCTGTTGCTGCAGCTGTTGTTGCTGCATGTGCTGCTGCGGATGAGGACTGAGAATCTGCTGCGGGGCTTGCTGCAGATGTCGCTGTAACTGCTGCTGCTGCAGCTGCTGCTGCTGTAGCTGCTGCTGTTGCAGCTGATGCTGCTGTAACTGCTG